TAGATCCTGAGGCTAACTGAGTGGATAGGTCTTGATGATATAATCAGTAATCAATGAAGAACTCAAATATTATTGCTGTATAATACTTTTATTCAACAGTTTTATGGAAAAAAACCCCTCACATTTCTGTATGTGTTATATCACATAATTTTCAGACATGTCAGAGTCCGGTGAAAAATTATATTTGGAGAAAAGCTTTAAAATTCATTCTTGTATGCCACTCCTTTGTGAAATACTGAAAAGCAGCTCGGTATCGCAGCACTAAAGGTTACAAAAAGCACCATTTAAAGGAGGACTCACATGTTTAATTCCCTTTATAGTCTTATTCCCCCTTTGTAACAGAGCTGTACTCACTCAAAATGCTTCAGTGTAGTAACAACCAACATTCTCCAATTTACCAAAATTTAAACAAGTTTCACATATGGGGCCCAGTGTGGAGATTAGGATTAATCAACATTAGTGAGCTTTGGCTGTTCTAAAACCACAACCTGGGTAGGTGTTCTGTAGATGGGAATAGAAAAGAAATAAGATGATGAACACATAATATAATACTTATAGTAGGTACCTCCTCGACCATTTTAACCTGACTATAAAATCCACATAGCATTTAGTTTTTCATATCAGTCTTACTGCAAAAGCACTGTGCTACACAAAATTCGACTCCAACTAATGTTGGAACTAAAACAAAATTTAATTTTTAACAGAACTTATTCATTCAAAGCACAACTGAGGGGCTTCCCTGGTGGCGCAGTGGTTGAGAGTCCGCCTGCCGATGCAGGGGACACGGGTTCGTGCCCTGGTCCGGGAGGATCCCTCATGCCGCGGAGCGGCTGGGCCCGTGAGCCATGGCCGCTGAGCCTGCGCGTCCGGAGCCTGTGCTCCACATCGGGAGAGGCCACAGCAGTGAGAGGCCCGCGTACCGCAAAAAAAAAAAACAAAAAAAACAAACAAAGAAAAGCACAACTGAGTAAAGCAAATCAAGACAAAGGCCAAATTTGAATCCTAGAGGGATTCCACTACGAAGAATTGGATTTCGTAAATAACAGACTCTTGGAGTTCTTTCCTTTTCTGTTTTCTTATAATTTTTAAAGATTTGGCCTTTTTACTCCAAAAGTTTGAGTTCATTTCAGAAATCACAGCCCTTCAACCTCCAGTTGTGACTGGTGCTTAAGGAGAGACAAATGCCTAGATCCAGAGTTTTAAAAGACCCTAACTCCTATCCCTCCCAGGTCCTCCATCCCATGGGTAACTAGAGTCAGCAGTTCCTAGAAGACAGCAACAACTTGGCTTTAAGGATGAGTCACAATAATGCAGGAACCAACTGTGTATATGCTCTTAAGCCTAGGCCCCATATCACTAGAACGTGAGGATTTAGAAATCTCTGAGAATAGAATGTATTTCAAACATACGCAAACATAGACTATTGCATATCATTTCTAGTTGAGGTCAAAAATTTAAAAGCTCTACCTCCCCAATTAAAAGCAGGGGATTCTATCATTAATGTGTCTCCTTCATTTATACCCAGATTAATATAAGCCCAGTGTAGAGGTAACACTTCTTTCTGAATTTAACTTCATTTTAGAAGCATATGTGGAGTACCAACACTTTTCAAAGATTTTATCTCAGATCCATTAGGTCTATGAGACTAGAAATAATTGGGGTGAAGTGAGTGGGCCTGGGTTTGTAGGATCCTGTCAGAAACCTCTCTTGGATTCTTCTTTTACAGAGCTTCTTTACCATATATAAGCACTGTTTTAAAAAAAAGCCAACACTGTTGAGGCCAGGTATGACCTTCAGGGCTTTGCCTACAGTGATTAAATCCCATTCAACTCTAAGCTTAAAACAAGCTAATAACCATGACACAGAAGTTCTCCTTACCAGCAAGATGACTAATATTTGTTTTAGGTAATGTTTGACTTTAGACCCTGGTAAAGTCTGCCTGACACATAAAATTAAAGCACAACATAGGATAAAGTGTAGAAAATAGAAACAAGAAACAGATTTTTTATACCGTAAGTTCTGTACAATGAGATCCAAAGACACCAGTGTATGTTTGATTTAATTTAAAAAAGGATATTTTTAGTTCTGAGTTACTTAAGCCTTAACTTTCCTAGTACCACTCCTCAGCTCAGTTACTCTTTCTTTTTCCCATAACTCCTAAACCATGATACAGTTCAAGAGTCAGCCCTCCCTAAGAATTACATTCTTACTCTTTGACTGTGAAACTCTTAGAGGCAAAACAAATTAAAAAAAACCCTAAAAAATTTTTTTTCCTTTATTCATTTTCAAAATCTGTCAAATTCTTCTGCAGAAAATAAACTATCCCTTTAACCAACATAAAAGAATGAGTGAACTGTACTCTTGGGTACCTTCCTCCCTCCCTCTCAACCTTCTAGAACAGTGTTTAGGGGACAGACTGAGAGTATGATAGAAATTCTCAATGCCATGGTATGTTATCAGCAGTACAGAGAAGGGACAGGGCTGAATGAGTCATCATCCAATTCCTCTTACTGATCCCTTTCCATACCAGCTGGTAGGCTCCAGTTTCACATCTGGCTGAAATATTACCTCAGAATTTGGAAAACTGACACTTTCTATACATTTCCAGATTAGAAAGATCTGAAGGTCACCAGCACCAAAACCTACTGTCACTGGAGACAGACCCATTTCACAGAAGCCTCTGGCCTGAGAGAAATTGAAGGAATCTCTTTTCCTGCCACACTCTAATGATCTATCTGTGCAGAATAGAGATTTTAATACAGGAACACAGAGACAATTACATGTCAATACTGCTGACAAGACATATGAGTACAACAAAATATTCTAGGTGACAACCAAGATTTTAAATTCTCCTAAGTGGCCCACTTGTTTAATGGGTAATGGAAAAAACAAAATTCTAGTATAACTGAAGACAATGTAGATCCTGAGAGTTGGTAGTAACAGAATTTGGCCTGGATTTTTAAAATGGCACACCATTCTAAAAGTGATTGGAACCATAAAACGTTCTCCACAAAAGGTGGCCTTCAGTGGCTAAAGCAGTATTTACTCTCAGCAATTAACCACCAAAGCACTTAGCAATTTGCATTCCCAGCAAGACAACAATCCCATACCCTACTGCCTCACATCTAAGAGTTCTACATACCAGAAGACAACTGTATCAGCTTTACATGGGAAAGACAGGAGGTAGCTAATTTACCTGTGGGTGCCCTTTCAGTGGGGCTGGGCTCATCTTAGCAGTCAAGGAGCCTCTCCAGCAACAAGTTTAGCCGACTTCAGTATTGAATGTTTGGCTTGCATTTATCTGTAATGGAAAAGCCACAGAAACTTGGGGAAAAATATCTTATCTCTGAATTTCAAGAGTGGATTGAATAGATACTTTTTACTCCACAAATGGAAATCACTGACCCCACTTCATCAACAAACACTTTCTGGAAGATATAGAACAACAAGATAACTGTTAGCATTTAGTGCATGAAAGGGATAGTTTTCATGGCTGGGAACACCAAGGGTAATTTCTTGCCTCTTGGCCTAATGAATCCTTAAGTTGAGGGACCCTTTTAGGTGCATGAAATGACCGTGAATGGGTCTGTATCTAGAGCAATGTTTACTGTAATGATGTACAGAGTCAGCCTTATTAATGTAAGACTGTAGGGGGCCAGACTAGAGAAGAAAATATTGGGAGCAATTTATCATAAGCCTGAAGTTCTCCAAATGCAGTCTCTTAAGACCAATGAAATTTTTTGCGGTATGCGGGCCTCTCACTGTTGTGGCCTCTCCCGTTGCAGAGCACAGGCTCCGGACACGCAGGCTCAGCGGCCATGGCTCACGGGCCCAGCCGCTCCATGGCATGTGGGATCTTCCCGGACCGGGGCACTAACCCGTGTCCCCTGAATTGGCAGGCGGACTCTCAACTGCTGCACCACCAGGGAAGCCCGAAAAGGCATTTTTTGATAAAAGAAAAATGTAGGCACATAAAAATCTTCCAAGGATGAAAGACATGAAAGTTTTCCCTGGCTTCACTCCCACCTTCAAAGCTATCTGCTCTGTGAAAGAAAACATGGAAGCAGGGCCAAACCAGGTGGGAAAAAGTATGGGAATGCCAATACAGCCTAAACTGTGGCACCAAACCAAAACAAAAAAGTAGACCTGCATTCTGCCTTTCATAAAATGCTGAGCCATATTTTCTTCAGTAGAAGTTAAAATAAGTGGTAACAAAGTGTCATGGGCCTGTGCTGCTGAGCTTAAAAAGGAGACTTTCTGGCAGCCCTAGTCTGTAAGGTGGGTCAGGTCTCACACAGCCTTTTTTTTTGTTTGTTTGTTATTTTGCCGTACACGGGCCTCACTGTCGTGGCCTCTCCCGTTGCGGAGCACAGGCTCCGGACGCGCAGGCTCAACGGCCATGGCTCATGGGCCCAGCCGCTCTGCGGCATGTGGGATTTTCCCGGACCAGGGCACGAACCCGTGTCCCCTGCATCGGCAGGCCGACTCTCAACCACAGGGAAGCCCTCACACAGCCTTTGAAAGGGGTCACTTACCCACTGAGTTTTGTGTTAGGCAAGAGTCAGATATAGGATCTGAGGGAGGTTAACAAAGCAAGAATGTGAAATGAGAGGAAAGAGGGTTCTTGTGGGGTACCTGGTATCATATAAAAAACACAGATTGTGCACATACTTTGGGAATACAGAGAACCCATGCAAGAAAAGCTGCTCCTGCAAGGAGGCAGCTGTAAGTAGGGCAGCACTCTGGCACAAGTCCATCCCTTGGAGAGCCAAGGTAGCAGTGATAGAATCTCCACCCAACAAGGATCCTGAGAGTTTGCTCTTCATTCACTTTAGGAAAAAAGCTTCCTATAATGGTTCTTCCTGCAGCTCTCCCCAACAGATCTTGGTGAGTTCCCACAGGCAGAGAGAATACATCTAGCTAGGAGGCTTCCATTAACTTTCCTCTCGTCTGTGTGTGTGTGTGTGTGTGTGTGTGTGTGTGTGTGTGTGTGTGTATGATTTTTTCTTAAAATAAATTCCATGAACTCCTAAAGCTCTCATTTGCAATCAAATGCAAAAGCAGAGCATCCTACTCAGAGGCTCTGAAACACACATATTAGCCTCAAAGCAAATCAGCCTTCCAGTCCCAGGTAAGACTGGTCTAGTCCAGAAAGGCAAGGGAGATGCTTCTCCTGAATCCTGGGAGGCAGGAAAGAATCCCTTCAGATGGGCTTATACAGCAGAGTAGTGACATACTTCTTCTTGTAGCGATGGGTTGCGCTAAGGACCATCACACTGTCCTGCAAGGGAAATAAACATATGTAGTTAATTCACTAGTTCAGGACGTAGGCAGCTGTTCCCAGCCATTAATCCTTCACAACTGCTCACTTTTAACAGAGTTAGTTTGATATTATAAAAAAAAAGGTTGGTTTTGGATTCAAATCAATTTAAGTTTTGATCCTGACTCCTACTGTTACTCTATTTGTGACCTTGAGTAATCTACTTAATGTCTTTAAGTTTTTTCTCATCATTACAAAGGATAACACCTATCATTAATACGGCTCTGATGATTACATGAAAATATCTGACAGAGAAAGTAGGTGCTGAAAAAATATTAGTCTCCTACCTCACTTCCTTCCCCACCTCACATTCAAATATTGGGCTTAAAACTATAATGGAAAAAAAGGGCTTCCCTGGTGGCGCAGTGGTTGAGAGTCTGCCTGCCGATGCAGGGGACGCAGGTTCATGCCCTGGTCCGGAAAGATCCCACATGCCGCGGAGCCGCTGGGCCCGTGAGCCATGGCCGCTGAGCCTGCGCGTCCGGAGCCTGTGCTCCGCAACGGGAGAGGCCACAATAGTGAGAGGCCCGCGTACCGCAAAAAAAACAAAAACAAAAACAAAAAAAACAACTATGATGGAAAAAAGAAATATCCTGATATCTATCTCTAGAAGGAAGTCTTAAAAGCAATGAGAAAAAAGGGCAGTGATCCTTTTGAAAAACCATTTCCAAGCCCCATTTAATACCAGGGATGAACTTTAAAAAATGTCATCTCTGATCAAGAAGTGACTCAGGAATCATCTTCTATCCTTGAACAAAGTGGACCCTAAAATCCTCCTTGGAAAGACACTCAATCCAATGGATCAATTCCAAACAGCTTAAACAATCTGAGAGAACCAGGGATAGGTCAAGGCCAAGCTGAACCACAACAATCAAGACCTTGACCTGGGTCAGAACCAGTGTGAAGAGTAAGAGGTACCATTTCCCAAGCAGTGTTACAGACCCTGGGTGTACCACAGAAAGAGATGGCAGACCTGTGGACATCACCTGATAGCCAAAGAGCAGATACAGGAGGCAAAATTCAGTTAGATCACAAAGAACCCAAGCAAATCCAATTAAGAAACCAGTGCCTCTTCCTATTTTCCTCTATATTGTATCATCTACAATGAATACTTCTCAGATTGACATTCTGTGACCACAGTATGCAGATCACAGCCTAAAAATGACGGAAGCAAGGCAGGTAAAAAATTCAACTCCAGAAAGAGTTTGGTGGAAATGAGAAGTGGGTGAGAGAAAGATCTACTTGGAAGAACCAGCACAATGGTCTCTAGGAAATGGACATGGAATAAGGACATGGAATAAGGATGGGAGGACTGGACCTCAGTCCTCTCTCTTGTACGTATTGGCAATATGACCTTCTATGAGCCTTAGTTTCTTTATCTATAAAACAGGGTTAAAAAATACTTATCCCACAAGGTTATTATAAAAATTATATTCAATAATATATATTTAATAAGTACCATGTAATCTGTTAAAGACAGCTGTATCAGTGATTTCCCTAATCTGGCTGCACATCTAAGAAATATAAGCAGCTTAAAAAAATTACTGAGGCCCATCCTAGATGCACTTATTCAGAATCCCTGGGGATGGAGCCTTTGAATCTATATTTTCCCAAACTTCCCCCAAGTGATTCTGATGATGTTCAGCTTAGTTTGGTAACTACAGAACTATATAAAATATTATTCCAATAACCAGACCACAAAGACATGACAACACTGAACAGATATTTTCAATCCAGAATCTAAAGCAGCAGAGAAACCAAGAAGCATTCTAAGAGTTGGGACGGGGATGGGGGGGACAGGGCAAGTCTGGTCACATTTCTCCTTTAAGTAGTGTATAGGAAAGATGCAAGCACTTGGGTATATATGACTCAGGCACCTGAAAGCAGCTCATGTCCACCTTTAAAAAAGTGGAAGCCTTAATACCACATTCAAGCATTCTTTGAACTGGAAGGTAAACTTGCTTTTTCTGTAAATGAAATCCTAGTACTATGAACTCGAACTTAATTAAGTAGGTGGTGCAAAGGTTATAGCTACCCAAAAAGAAACAGGAAGCAAAAAAGTCCATTCAATCACAGCACAATTCAGCTAGCCAGAACTCAGATATCAAGACTAAAATTTAAAACAAACAAACCCACTAGTTAAAGAAAGAAACTTCTTCTCCTATAATTTGACCATTACTGCCAGCTTCAGCTTCAGTGAAGTAGCAGAGCAGTAGCCACTAGGGAACACGTGTTCAACTCTCCCCCTCCAATCCTGGGGAACTATGTGAAGAACCAGGCCCACCACTTACCTTAATGGACAATGCGTAGAGATGGTTCAGCATAACATGATTGGGCTCGGGGAGCAAGGCTGGATCACACTAAGAGGGGTAAAAAAAAAACAAACCAAAAAAAAAACACACTAAATGGGGTTAAATGCACAATCCTAAACCAGTTTTTTCTTCCTCAGATATCTTTGGGTCGGTTGAGAAACTCAAAACTAGAATGTATTATTTCTTTCAAATAATGCACTTATCCTAGTATATATAAATAATACATTCTCATTACAGAAAATCAGGAAAATTCTGAGTCCAGGGCAGAAACCCTTAGCCTCACTACCTATTCATCCTCTTAACAGATCTTGCCCACAACACATATAGAAGATTTGTGTAAGAGGCAAAAATAATCTTAGTGGGAATCAAGTGAATTGACTAGAAATGTAAATTATATGCAAAATATACTTCTTTTGGATATCCCCAAATGATAAATACTCCTTATGTTGGAATAGAAGTCTTAGAAACTGGTTCTAGCAATCCATAGCTCTGAGCCTGATATATTAGGATCAGAAGACACCTATGAATTTTGGTAACAGTATTTGGAAAAGTCGCAACTCAGCCCTGGAAAAAGGAACTTGTAAAGCTACTGATATGTACGTATATGATTTATACTCAACACACCTTTGTAATAATCCCAACCTCTAGGATTACTACACTGTAGCTCAAATGGTCCTAGTAACCCCCAGATGCCCCAGCAATACTCTCAGGATACTCACAGATATATTAGTGTCCTTGTTAAGAATAACTTGGAGAAGGTGAGGAGGCAGGATGGGTGGGGATTTGAATCTCTCCTCTGATCGAAACACATACATTTCTTGACCATAAGGCCCTGGGGGTGAGCTGGAAAGGTCTGGAAGATATTTATTCAAATATAAGGGAAAGTTGGAGAGCTATTAAAGACGCATGAAAAAACTGTCAGTACGTGGCAGCTAATATTAAATATGGTAGAAGTCAAGAATCATAAACTTGTGACTTGGGTCTACAACTGTAAGGCAAACAAAGAAAAAGTCTGCGTCATCCTGAACATAAACCATGAAGTTCCTCAACGTGGTAACATGACGTGAAGGATAGGGGAGGAGATGAGGGGTAAAAGATGTAGGTTCAGGGAAGAGCTACTCCATTTATCAATTGTATGACTTGGGACAAATCCCTCTTCTATAGTCAGTTTCCTCATTCATAAAATGAAAATAACAATCTCTGCCCTATTTCACAGTGCTTTTATAGGAATCAAATGAGACAACAGATGTGACAATGCCTTATAAACTATCAAACAATATGAAAATATTAGATTTGTTCTTTTTTCCAGTCAAGCAACAAGGTTATAAACTTTAAGACTACTGATACTACGATGACTGCAACAAAAAAGAAAAATTAATAACAATGTAGTCGTCATTAGGGGAATGCAAATCAAAACCACAATGAGATACCACTTCACACTCATTAAGATGGCTAGAATAAAAAAAGACAGACAATAATAATTATTGGCGATGATGTGGAGAAATTGGAACCTTTGTATTGTTCCCATTGCTGGTTGGAATGTAAAATGGTGCACCACTTTGGAGAACAGTTTGGCAGTTCCTCCAAAAGTTAAGCACAAAATTACCATATGACCCAGCAATTATACTCCTGGGTACATGCTCAAGAGAAATGAAAACATATGCCCACACAAAAACTTGAACACAAATGTTCATAACAGCATTATTTGTAACAGACAAAAAGTGGAAACAATCCAAATGTCCGTCAGCTAATGAATGGATAAATAAAATGGTATATCCATACAATGGAATTTTATTCAGCCATAAAAAGGAATGAAGTTATTATATATATTACAACATGGATGAACCCTGAAAACATTATGCTAAGTGAAAGAAGCCAGACACAAAAGACCATGTAGTGTATGATCCTATTTATATGAAATGTCCAAAATAGGCAAATCCACAGAGACACAAAGTAGATTTGTGGTTGCCAGAGGCGGAGGGAAGGAGGCAATGGGAAGTGACTGCTAATGGGGATGGGGTTTCTTTTGGGGGTGATTAAAATACTCTGGAATTTGGACTTCCCTGGTGGTCCAGTGGTTGAGAATCCGCCTGCAAATGCAGGGGACACGGGTTTGATCCCTGGTCTGGGAGATGCCACATGCTGCGGAGCAACTAAGCCCATGTGCCACAACTACTGAGCCTGCGCTCTAGAGCCCACAAGCCACAACTACTGAGCCCATGTGCCTAGAGCCCGTGCTCTGCAACTAGAGAAGCCACTGCAATGAGAAGCCCACACACTGCAACGAAGAGTAGCCCCCGCTCACTGCAACTAGAGAAAGCCCGCGTGCAGCAGTGAAGACCCAGCACAGCCAAAAAAAACAAAACAAAACTCTGGAATTATATAGTGATGATGGTTGCACAACTCTGTGAATATACTAAAATTTACTGGATTGCACACCTTAACAGAGTGAATTTTATGGCATGTGAAATTATATCTTAAAAAAATGGAAAAAATGTATGCAGACAGAATAGAAATACACAAAAATGAAGAGAACTATAATTTTTTGCTTAAAAATTTTTAATGTTTTTTACAGTTTCTAGTGAAAAGGATTTTAATAACCAGTTCAGCATAAGAACTCAGATTTCTATTAAATATACGTGGGGCAAAAGAAAAGAGTAGCAAAAATACTGTTATATTAAACAATATCTTAAAAATGTATAGAACTTGAAACTTTTCAAAGTACTCTCAGTTATTTTGTCATAGATCCACAAAAACACTCTTTGCAAGTACATAGAACAGTTTTTTTTTTTTCCCCTTTCCATCAGAAAAAAAAATGGTTAAGTCATTTACCCAAAGTCACATACACGGCAAAGATGGTTACTGAGTGCAGATTAAAACCCATTATCTGAAGATTCCTAATAAAATGTATTCTAAACCCTACCTCAGTGGATCAGGAAATTGGGTGAAAGTGGGAAGAGAGAAATATCAAAAGTATGCTAGTCCTCTTTCTCTATAATTATGATTATATGTCTATTATTCATTGGTTGCTTTGCTAGAATCATATAATGCAAAAATTTAGAGTAACTAGTGGCCTCATCATTCAATTGAGTATTTTTAAACTCTTCTAAATCTCTGCGCCACCAGTTAAGAACAATGTCCAGCCTTACTTTCTGAGCTTACATAATGAAAACAATATCTTTGTAATTTTCCTAAACAATTATTATACTATTGATTATTCTTTTAGAAACTGCATAAGCCACTCTTGTGTCCTGAGATTCTAATATGCCTCACTTCAGGTACTGTGTCTCCTCAGCTGTGAATCGCTGAGAGTCTAAGCCTCTGATTTTACTGATAAGAAACCAAGAACCAAAAAGGTTGAAGGAGTTGTCCGTGATGCAAAGCTAGTTAGTAGCAGAGGCAGGCTTTGAACTCACAAGGGAGAAGTGTGCTTACTGGAAATACAGTTCTTTAGACAGTCATAGCCTTTATTGTAAAACAACAAAATTGGTAACTGTGAGTATGGATAGCAAATCACTTTTCTGGTTTTCTAGCTAATGTAAGGAGAGATGAAGGCCTTGGAAAAAGCATTGGGAGAAACAAAAGGATACAAGTCTTTTCCTCTACGAAGGGATTTTTTTTTTAACCCAAAACTTACAAAACTTCAGTTAACATATACACAAAAGAAATGTGAGGTTTGGGAACTTCCCTGGTGGTCCAATGGGTAAGACTCCATGCTCCTACTGCAGGGGGCCCGGGTTTGACCCCGGTTGGGAACTAGATCCTGCATGCATGCTGCAACTAAGTCCACCTGCTGTAACTAAAAGATCCCACATGCCGCAACAAAGAGCCTGTGTGCCGCAACTAGGACACAGCACAGCCAAAATTATTTATTTATTTATTTATTTATTTATTTATTTATTTAAAGAATTAAAAAAAAGGAAATGTGAGGTTTTTATAACCGTTTTCCCCCCCAAAACTGCCATATATTTACGGCCCTATAAAATTATAGAACTGCCAACTGAGCTATCAAACTAGCAGGATTAAGCTGAGGCAGCTAAACAAGGCATATGAGACACAGCTAGCCCCTGCTAGTTGATACTCTCAAAGGTCAATGAAAAACTTGAAATATTACTAGAAAAATGCTTTTTAAACTATAGACTATAGCCTATTAGTGGTTTATAAAAAGAAGGATAAAATAGAAAATAGAGTACTTTACATGTAATAAAGGCAAATATTATACTGTAAGACGTGTGATTGTTGTGTGTGTGTGTGTGTGTGTGTGTGTGTGTGTGTGTGTGTGAGTGTGTACTGGGTTACAGTGTAAACCTACTGGTTAAAAAGTCTGAAATCAAATACACTAGACAGATTTTTTTCTTGAAGATGGGTACCTAATGTTTATAGGAGAAACATATACATACAATTCATAAGATTCCTAAGGAGAAAATGAAAAAACAAACAAAAACCACTCTTGGGAAGAAACACGCATTATAAGAAAAACAGATCAAGAAAGAGCAAATACTACAAAATTACCTCGACATGATGTCTCTGAGCTTTCCATTGAATCTAGCTTTAAAGCATCAAACACCTCAAAATCAGATTTCTTGACATGGATCAAATTGTTAATTGTGCCAAGCTGACTGGTAACCACAGGCTGAAACAATGAATGGAACAAAAATTCATGAAACCCCATTTCAAATACATCTCTTCTATTCAACTCTCCTCTTTTTAAAAGGGATCATACTTGGCACCACCATCTTTTATCAAGAAAGAAATCCAACAGTACAGGAACCTATCAATCCTGACTGCAATGATGTTTGACACCAAGGGGAATGATAGTTTAAAGGAGACTGTTAAGTCAGTGGTTACCCTCGGAGATCAAGGCCTTACCTCTGATGGATCATGAACCCACTGTCCATCCACAAAGAACTTGTACTGGTGCTCTCCCTCAGGGAGGTCCAGGATGGCAACAAAGTCATTATGGCTACAGAAGAAAACAGAAAGTTAAATAGGCCAAATTTCTATTAGAAGACAGAATATAAATGTAAAAACCACGAGGCAATCACAATATCATACCAATGATCTCCCGCATTCTTAAGTGATTGCAACCCCTGTAGTAAAAAATAATTTATAAACCCATTCTCCTTTTTTATATCACCTTGAGCATGTATTTGCTGGCCCCTCCCAATAACTTTAGTTCTTAACTAATATCTGGAAGAGAACAATAAAGATGTTAATCCTCCCGAATGCTCCACCTTAGTACAACTACTTTGCTTCAGCAAAACAGATCCTTCATGAATGTAAATAAGATAGCAAGTAGGTTCAGGATAAGAAGTGCCTCAAGGTACCCTTCCCACATTTTGGTGAGCAGATTCTAGAAAATTACCTATATACAAAGGGCCATAACCAGTTACATAATTCACTGTTGCTCTGAAAGCAACAAACAACATTACTACCTAGAACTTTACAGTGTGTTTTGTTTTAGTGCAGAAGTCAGAGCAACTGGACTCACGCAGTTATGGAAGACTTCCCACAAGCACAGAAAGGACTTGTGTTAGCACAGTCCTAAAGAAGTGGTAAACTCTGACTCACTACGAGGTTAGAAAAAAATGTCACAGATAATACTTATTGGTCACAGAAAATGTTCTAGAGAGAGTCCCTAGCAGGTGGAGAGGAGTAGTCCAGCCAGGTCTCTCTCCTGAGAAAGGAAATCAAGTCTCTACTCCTGGACCCTGTAGACTCAACCAAGACACTTGTCTTCACCTCTTAATCAGTGGAATCTTGGCGCTCCAATTGTTGAAGGACCCAGAGATGAAGACCTCTTTGCCTCCTTCAGACCAGCGGATAACAGTGGGCCGGGCCTGCTGTGTGGGCTTTACGGAGTCCTCCAAATCCTGCTGCCATGATACAAACTCTTTGTCCCCAGGGAGCTGTAAGAAGGATTAGGTCATCCCTAAATTGTGACCCAGGAATTCTGAAAAGGTCACTCTCCTCCCTAGGGCAGAGAGGGGTGCTACGTTTCTGCTAAGGATTAATAAGCCTTGAAAGTAGCAACTAAATCAGATTTTGAACAAACTATAGAAAAAGAACTCATCTAGGACCAAAATGGTCAAATGGCTTATGCTCAAAGGCTACTCAAATCACAGCCTAACTTCTGAGTCTGCATATATCACTCATTCTTTCAGAGCCTTAGGATTTCCCTTAAGAAACAAACAAACAAAAAACCTTACTTCCTCTTACCAGATTAACTCAAAGGCAGACAATTATGATATGCTTCTGAGTGTCTCTTAAGAGAAAAAATATGAAAATAAAGTATGGTTCTACAAAAAATAATTAAGTTAACCACATGCAAATATGAGCAGCTCTCAATTTATCAGGTGTAATAGAAATTAGAGATGCTAAAATTCATAAGTAATTCATAATCTCTACTTTAGTTAACAGGTTACAAAAGGACATTAAAAATATAAAAATCAGATCATTGGTTTCATAAATTTTGAGAAATGGTTATGAAATCTTACTTGCTCACCTATGCCAGGTTTGTACTAGTTATTTCAGGAGTAGGGATGAAAATTCTGGAGCCCCAAGAAGCATCAGATCAAAAACACAGTTTCCTTTAAAAAAGTGGTTCCAATATCAAATGAAGTATGTTGGATTCCGGAAAAACAACTGACTCCTTACTTAGTTTCTTTTCATTACCATCCTTCAGAACAGGAATTGGCAAACTACGGCCAGTGAGCCAGATGCTTTTACAAATAAGCTTTTATCAGAAAATAGCCACACTCATTCACTTACTCATTTTCTACAGCTGCTTTCATGCTACAATGGCAGAAGTGAGTAGTTGTGACAGAGACTGTATGGTCCGCAAAGTCTAAAATATTACCTACCTGGCCCTTTATAGAAAAAGTTTGCTCACCCCCACTTCAGATTGGCTTAAATGACTTTGGTAAATAAGACTATATGGTACCAAGCCAAAATATTACCAAATAAAATAATGTGGGTTTTAAAAAAAAAGGACTAGTTTATTCATTTGGGTTTTACTTTCAAAATGGCCGAGGCAGACTACCTTCCATACTGTCTCTCAGTATTCCTCAAAACTACACTATGAGATACCAGTAGCAGCATAATCCAAAGCAAGCAGAGAAAGAGAATTGAAGGAACTTTCACATTATATAAGGAAGTGGCTTAAGAGAAAAGTTTGATCTCCATTTTCTCAAAGCAATGAACTCTTATTTGACAGGCTGCATTAGAATTACAGAAATGTTTACGTATGCCTAACAATTACATATGCCTCAGATTCTGATTCAGCTATAAGGTCCGGGAATCTATTTTTAAAAAGCTTCCCAGACAATAATACTGAAATTATATTAAAAATAAAGAAAGAAACCTCATCTTTAGAGATACATCCTAAAATATTTACAGATAAAGTAATATTTGATATGATGGTCTGGGATCTGCTTCAAAATAATTGGTGGAGGAAGAGTGGATTGGGGTATAGGTGACATAAATTCATTTATGATTTGATCATTGTTTAAACTGGATGACAGTTAATATAGGAGTTCATTACACTGTTCTCCTGACTTTGAAACATGGAAAATGTTTCAAATTTTCTATGCAGTGTTCAAACAAATCTCAGGTGAGTCTAATGTGCAAATAGGACTGAAAACCATTGAACTAGTAAACCGAAGAAGGCTGGCATTTGAAGCAATGCAGGCCCGCCTGCCACTGTTTCTATTACTTACTTGTATGATTTAATAGTTTCAGTTTAGAATCTGAAAGCTACAAACTATTAATATGCCTAGCTTTGGAAGAAAGCCCTTCCATGTATGACATGACATTTCTGTGGTAGGCATGAGTGCAGCTGACTAGCAAAAAGATTGTTTACTCCAAGTTAAATAGTCAGCAAAATCATCAGGAAAAGAGGCAAAACAATTAGAATTATAATTGAAAAATATTTAAGTGAAATACTGAGGGAAGAAATAGAGTAGATTGAGAACTATAAAATCTTAGATTTGGAAGTGACCTTGGGAATTATTTGAACCAATTTTCTTATTTCACAAATGTCAAGCTTGAGGTAAGGGAAAGAATGATCCAAAATAGGCTCCATTTCAGATAGAGCAACCTGGCTTTTATTCAGGACGCCGATTACTGCAGTCACAGTTTGACACATACACTGTACTTAAATCCTGAGTCATCAATGTAGGAAACGGGTAAAAATCCAATCACCTTGAGAAAGCTCTGAAGAAGTAAATTCAGATGGCTGAGGAGAGGGCCCAAATGTTGAGGAAGAAGTCCTGAAGTGGGAGAAGGAAGAAAGGAACGAAGAAGAAACCCCAAGAAATCACCCTCACTTCCCTTTGTGCTTATGTTCTCAATTGTGATCCAAGAAAATAAACAGTAGAATCCACATTTCATGTGTTATCAACCCGGCAAATTATTCTCTATTTACAAGAGTAAATAAAATAAAACCCCAGATGGGTGGGACAGGATGACTGATAACATCAAACCTACCCCAATCTCCCCAACCCCTCCATTTTTCTACTCCATTCTAGTCAGACTACCAGGAGGAATTAATGTATTTAATGACTACAACTCTGAAAGTGATTAGAGACATTCGAATGGTAATTACATTGCTGTCAGCTCCATCTATCCTTTCTGTAGGGTGAATACAAGTTGCCACTTTCCTGAAAGTCCTTGATTGAGAGCAAGGTCTTCAGGGCAACCGTGGGTTGTCCATTTTCAGCCGCGGTAACATTATGAAGTACCACCGGAAATTAGAGAAACCCTGGAATGATTTGCTCTCCCACTTGAGAAGCAGCTGGACGTGAAAGAAGCAGCTCAGCCAAGACAACTGTAAAGTATGAGATGAAAACTAAGCAGTCAACCAAATAATGTCCTTTATTGATCCCCAAGACTAGAAGAAAGTATTCATATAAGCAAGTGGTTGCTGCTCACAGCCATGCCAAAGGGGAAGAGGATCTGAAGTGATGAGCTCTCAGAAGGGCAAAAATGATACGGATACACAACAGTTATCAGGAAAAAGAAATTCATTTACCTACCTCAAGGCAAATGTGAGGAAATGCCGCCTATGGTCAGCAACTCGGGTAACCTACCCTCTGAAGTTTTTCACCAGGGCTCACGACCTACAAATTCATCAGTACTCTAGAAGAGGGTGCCTGTTAGGAGAACCAAGGGCGACCGGGCGGAGGTTTGTTGGCCTCATCCTAAAAATGTGGCCAAAAGAGTAGTCGAGTAACAAGAACTCCGCCTCTATCCTATTTTGAGACAGCACCGCGAAAGGAATTACCACTCAATATCTCCGTCCCCGAAAAAAGCCTTTAATTCTAAAAACCGTAACCCAGGTCAGTGTGATAAGAAAAAATCAAAATAGGGAGGAGGAACCCTGACACCCAGACTACTGCAGCATCGCCACCAACTGGGGGCGTGGGGGCACTCACCTTGGAATCCGGCAGGCTGAAGACGCTGGGGTCATCGGTGCTCCCCACCATGATCTTATGTTCCTTGCCCGGGGCATGGCCGCCGGCGCCCTCGGCGCGCGCAGCCTTGGCGCCGTGGCGCTCCCCGGCCACCCGGTCGCTGGTGGTGTTTCCCATGGCGGTGCAGCTCGAGTCGGGGGCCACCTGCCGTGCGGAACAACACGGGGCTAGGGACACCCCGGCGGTCGCGTCTGGGGAGCCCCTGGCCCCGCCCCTGCGTCTGGGGACCCGGGCAAGGGAATCCCCGCCCCAGGAAAGCCGCGCGCAGGGGAGCCCGCCCTCCCTCCCTGGCCGCCAAGGAACCCCCGGAACCCCCAATCCCCCTAGTTGCCCGCTGCTCAAGAAACCCGCTTTCGGAAACTCCCCCGCACCCTCCGCGCTCACTGCCCAGGGGCGCTCCCACCCCCAATCACCTCCCGCGATGCTCTGCCTCCTCCCGGGACCAATGGTGCGATGGCTGTTCTGCTGATAAGGCCACCAATAAAGTTATTGAAATTGAAGCCACGCCCCGGGCTAACGACCCGGGTTTCCTCCTAAAATGGCTACAAGGCCAGAGACGCGGGGTCGCCCCGCGCGCGTTCCCTGCGGCCGCGCCGCGGCAGCGCCCGGGGCCCGCCGGCCTCTCTAGCCACCGTCGCCTCGATGGTGGGCAGCCGCGCGCAACCTTCAGCGCCAGGCGGGGGCGCCGGTTCCGCAATCCACCGCGTGCGGGGCCAGGACTGCTTCGCTGGCGAGACTGCGCTGAGATCTTTGGTTGCTTGAGCCTGAGGGATTGCCAGCGGGTGGGGACGGTCACCGAAGGACACGGGGTCCCCTCACGGGCTCTGGTGCGCACCCGGTGGAGCGGCATTGCTTTTTTCCCCGCTCCCTCACCTGGCCTCAGTTTCGCCAAACGTTTTCATTTTGTAGCGTCTTTTCGACAGGCATCCCGGAGAGGTGAGTTCCTATAGGGAATAAGAAAACGGACTCTTGCAACTGAAAGCTAAGGAAGTAGTAGTGGTAATTGCTCTTGGTTAAAACTAAGTGCTATGGGGGAGCAGTCAGCCTGACTGGGTCCCCAGTGAAGAGAGAATAATTAGGAGATAAATCTTTTTAAAAAAAAATTATTTTTATTTATTTTTGGCTGCATTGGGTCTTCGTTGCTGCGCACGGGCTTTCTCTAGTTGAGGCGAGCGGGGGCTACTCTTTGTTGTGGTGCTCGGGCTTCTCATTGTTGTGGCTTCTCTTGTTGCGGAGCACGGGCTCTAGGCGCACGGGCTTCAGTAGCTGTGACTCTCCGGCTCTAGAGCGCAGGCTTAGTAGTTGTGGTGCACAGGCTTAGTTGCTCCGCGGCATGTGGGATCTTCCCAGACCAGGGATCGGACACATGTCCCCTGCATTGGCAGGCAGATTCTTAACCACTGCGCCACCAGGGAAGTCCCAGGAGATAAATCTTGACAAATTGTTAAAATTAGTATAAGGAGAAGGAGAAAGCTATTCTAGGCTAAGAAACAGCACTTGCAGTGAGCAACCCCAGAAGAAATGAAATTCAAGAAAGAGAGCAAAGGAACCATCAGAAGAAATACTTAGTTAGAAAAGGGCAACGACAGTCTTGTTGGAGCAGATTCAGGTTTCTACTGATAATTAATGGGACTTCTGTGGTATTTATTAATTCTTACTTTGTATTATGATTATATGCATGTCTCATTACCTACTAGAAACCCTTGTCACTTAGCATGTGTTATAGTGACCAGCAGCATTGGCATCACCTGGGAGCTTGTTAGAAATGTTGAGTCTGAGGCCCCATACTACAGAATCAGATTCTGCATTTTAACAAGATCCCCGAGGGAATGTGTATACACATTAAAGTGTAAGAACCACTGCATTGACACCTGGCAGAGAGCAAATCTAGGTTTGATTCTTCATGTTCTTGCATGCACCTTGTACAGAGTAAACTTTTAATAAACATTTGCAGAATGAAGGGTACATGAATACTGTTTACTACATTTATAACAGGATAATTGCACTTAGTCTTAAACACAGCCAGTAATGGGGAACCCCAAGTCACACGAGGCCACCCTTTCTGAATGAGCAGCTCTATTTGTTGAAAAGTTCATTTTATATTAAGTTGAAAACCCATCCACTTAAGTCCAACAAATCCTCTGCTCCCCCTTTTGTTTTTGCTCTGCCCCTAATAAACTCAGTTATTCTGTAGCTCTTAACCAAAGATAGTTTGCAGAAAAAAAAGGTACATTTTTTTACTGCAATCTTTTGCTCACCCCTCCAAAACCATTACTGTCTAGTTACCTCCTTCTTGGATAATCTTACCCCCGCTTATTCCCCGAGTTCCTTTCAATCTTTCCACAGGACTCTGAAGCAAGGCCCTTGAAGGACTAATACAATAAACATTAACTTGTGTACTGTTCAGCTTTCTAGCCCCAGGGTGGTTTCTCCATGCCAAGTAATATGTCCCTAGTATGTATTTCCTTACAAGCGTCAAATCAGCATAGGAGAAGCAAATCTGCTTTGGGGATTATTCATGACACTGTTCTGCTCTAATAACATTTATAAATCGGTCAGTAGTTAATAATAAAAGTCAACTTTGCATATTGTGTATTTTAGACATAAGACAAAAGTAATTTGACCCTGTAGGAAGGATTAATTGCTTCTCCCTAGTCCCATGTTTGTTTGTTTTTTCCTTATACAGGAAAGACTAGGTAAAGAAACATGATCTCTTAACCAACACCAGTATAATTTCTCTCTTCAGACTTAATGCTTTTGCCCCAGTGTCCTATCCTTCCTTCTAGAGGGAATGAAAAGAAGAAGGTAATAGGCAAAATAATTGGTGGGGGTTCTCTTGATGTTACTGTATCTCAGATGTCATTGCCACTCGTCTCCTCAGATAAGCCATTCTGCCTGATAAACTGAGGAAAATAATGGAAAGCATGGGAGGCTTCACAACACAGTGTACTTTTATGCATGCTGCTAAAGGTGTCCTACTTCCTCTGAGAGGTGAGGATGGGGGGATGGGGGAAGAATGTATTGATTTTACAGAACTGGATGACAGGTTAGATTTGGCATCTGGAGCTTTACTTTCCTGTCTCTGCTCCCCAGTTTGCATTCCCACTTGTGATCAAGAATGAGTGTGACATCTCATCTTGGTGATTTCCATTTCAGAAACAATCTGATCTTTTTTATAAAGTTAAACATACACCTAACATGCAGTTTAGTAATCCCACTCTTAGGTATTTATTCAAGTGATATAAAGACAGGTTCACACAAAAACCTGTACATAAATATTTATTTGTACAAAACATATGTGGCTTCACTCATTTTCACCCCAAAAGGTAAACAACACAAGTGTCTTTTGCCTGGTAAATCTATAAACAAAATGTGGTGTAGCCATAAGTGGAATACTGCTCAGCAATGAGAAGGATTAAACTCTTGATACACACAACATGGATGAATATCAAATGCATTATGGGAAGTGAAAGAAGCCAGAGTCTATTTACATGACATTCTGGAAAAAGCAAGACTTAGGGTCAGAAAACAGATCAGTGCTTTCCAGGAGTTGAAGGTGGGAAGAGGTGTTGACTACAAAGGGGCCTTAGGAAATTTGAGGGAGTTATAGAATACTTCTGTATCTTGATTGTAATGGTGTTATGCATCTGTCAAAATTTTCAGAACTGTACACTAAAAAGAGTGATTTTATTGTATGAACATTATACCTCAATAAAAAATAAAAACAATTTAATACTATTTAAAATATCAGCTTTAGGAAGAGGAATGATACAAGTTTATACACAAAAGAGACTACTCAACCATTGTGGAAAGTAATTATTTTTAAAAACAAATAGCATTGATATTAATTTTTTCCACCTTTATTGAGGTATAATGATAAAATTATATATATTTAAAGTATGCAGCATGATGACTTGATGTATGTGAACACTGTGAAGTGATTCCCACAATCAAGGTAATTCACATCTATCACTTCACACCTGTGTGTTTGTGTGGGAAAATGCTTAAGATTTACTCTCTTAGCAAATTTCAGGTATATAGCACAGTATTATTAACTATAGTCACCATGCTGTGCTTACTCATCTTATAACTTAAAGTTTATACCCTTTGACCAACATCTTCCCATTTCCCCTAACTCCTGACCCCTGGCAACTATCATTCTACCCTCTGTTTCTCTGAGTTCAACTTTTTTTTTAGATTCTAGGTATAAGTGATACAATACAGTATTTGTTTTTCACTGACATTTCACTTAGCATAATGCCCTCAAGGCCCATCCATGATGTTGCACACAGCAAGATTTTCTTCTCATGGCTAAATAGTATTCCATTGTGTATGTATATGCTACATCTTCCTTATCCATTCATTTAAACAGATACTTAGGTTGTCTCCATATCTTGGCTACTGTGAATGATACTGCAGTGAACATGGGAGTGCAGATATATCTTCAAGATCCTAATTTCATTTCCTTTGGATATATACCCATAAGTGGGATTACTGGATCATATGGTAGTTCTATTTTTTAATTTTTGAGGAATCTCCATACTGTTTTCCACAGTGGCTATACCAGTTTACATTCCCACAAAAGCATGCAAGGTTTCCCTTTTCTCCAAGTCCTTGCCGACTCTTATCTCTTGTCTTTTTGGTAATAACCATTCGAACAGATGAGGTGATGATATCTCATTGTAGTTCTGATTTACATTTCCCTGATGATTAGCAATGTTGAGTGCCTTTTCCTGTACCTGTTGGCCATTTGTATACCTTCTTTGGAGAAATACCTATTCAGGTCTGTGATATCATGGTTTATAATAGGAAACATATATTTGATCTTTGTCCCTCTTTATGAAATCCCAAAACCCTTGGCATTTTCTAAGCGATGAGAGCATTAAAGGTGTTTCTTGTTAGGTTAATGAAATGCCTTTTGGACTGAACCTAAGGATGGGAGCTGTTGTCAGGAAAACCAAACACGTGATTAGAGGGTTGGAACTTTCAGTCCCACACCCTGACCTCTGGGGAAGGGAGAGGAGCTGGAGGTTGAAACAATTGCCAATGGACAATGAGTTAATCAATCATGCCTGTGTACTGAAGCCTCCACAAACGCCCCAAAAGGACAGGAATTTGGAGAGCTTCCAGATGGGTGA